CCATTTCACTGTGCCGTATTGTGGTAGCGAGGCAGCAGAACTCTCCCACACGCACAATGTGCATTAAAGGGCAAGTTCACTTTCCCAGGTAGTATGGGAAAATTGAATTACCCAATCAAATCTGGCCACCGTCTCTCCCAAAACCCCCCACTCCCTGGCTATACTTACCTTTCGGCAAACGGTCCTTACCCTCCGCCGGTACAGGTGTACTGTCCTTACCCCGTACTGTCCAGCGCAGTCCTGCCCTATGCATTTTGAATTTCGCTCGCAAATTGCAAGCACTCATTGGTCAGCGTGGTCTGGGGACCACGCTGACCACTGAGAAGCGCTATTTAGCACAGACCAATACAGTTTTGATTAGGGATGCACAGATACAGAGTATTTGGGCAAGTACTTGTACTCGCCCAAATGCTCGATATCTTCTCCAATACCTGAACTTCTGGTCAGAGGAAGACTTCCTCTGATCGGCAGTGCCGTAGGGGAACATGGAGCCAGCTTCCCGTGCAATCAGGAAGCGTGTCAGCGACTAATGACCCGTCTCCCAGTTTCCTGATTGGCCAGGAAGCCAGCTCCTTGCTGATTGACTGGGAAGCCAGCTTCCGAGCCAATCAGCATCGAGCTGGCTTCCTGGCCAATCAGGTCATTACTCGCCGCCCGGTTTTCTGATTGGCCAGGAAGCTGGCTCGATGCTGATTGGCCGGGAAACCGGCTTCCAAGCCATTCGCAATCAAGCCGGCCAAACATGGAGTCGGCTTCCCTGGCAGTCAGGAAGCCGGGTAGCATCTCATTACCCGCTGCCCGGCTTCCTGATTGCCGGGAAGCCTGCTCCATGCAAACGGAAGCACCGATACTCGGGGAGTACCGAAAGCAAAATATCGGTACTCTATACCCAAAAATCGGTATTGGTGCATCCCTAGTTTATATTAAAATTATTTTATTTTTTGTATTGGGACAAGTAGATTGTTATGAAGGAAAAGTAGATTTGGCCTGCGCTTTAGCCCTTGGACAAGTAGTTTTTTCAAAAATTTCCACACCCCTGAGACGCAATGATCTGCTCTTCTCCCCGATGCTCCGGGCGGTCCTCTTATGTCTTTTGGACATAAGTCAATGACGTTCACAAGATAGCAATGGCAAGAACATTTCAAAAGGAGATGCTTCTGCCTAACTAGTTGTAAGTCAGTCTCTAATATTACAGGCATAAAAATCCAAACAGAAGGCAAAATGGTACAGATCTCTCTATGGGGCCACATTGGGTAGCTTTTCGCTCACAGTAACAATGCTGTCACTAGGACAGGAAATGAGGTAAAACTATTTCCAATAGTAAGGTTTAGGAAGGCATAAATCTCCAAAAGCACTTATTATTGCGGTCTGTGTTACTGCTGGAGATATCCCCCCAATTTCTGTAATAGTGCCACAATTTTCAACAGAACATGAAATCTCCCAAACAGGACAGAGGAAAGAGAAACACCCCCCCACCCCACAAGTGGTCTAACTTCTATTAAAGAAAAAAACATTACATATGTAAAGGAAATAAGTGTTACATTTGACTAGTATTTTTATGTAATTCTACTATAGCATTATTGTTAGATTTCACAAAATCAATGGAAGGCCAGTTTTACACATGGTACTTACCGTTCACCAAAGTAGCCCGAGAGTTCAGAGATGATGTAACCCCATTTGCTTTGCATGGTGACTGACCCTCAACTTTCTGATTACTTCTGTTTAAAGCACAAGGTTCAAGTTAGAATGGAGAGAGGCAAAGGAGAAAAAGAGATATCTACAAACTAGCCATGTTATCAATGACAACAGAAAAACTGTCACCGAACAAAAGAACCCCCATTGCTGACAAAATGGGGGTTAGAGTCAGTATTTCCATTTAAGAAAAAAAAGACTCAGGCTACTAGCAAACTTTAACCACCTCCGGGCCGGCCGTAGTAAAAAAACGGCCGGCCCGAGCTCTCTAGATCTGAGCGGGCGTCTTTATGATTCACGCTTAGCGTATTTTCGCAGCTGCATAAGCACGACAAAATGCTTCACACAATAAATCCCATATATTCTTATGGCCCTTGTTCACACCTCAGTGTTTCGTCGCAATAAGCAAAATGCCTGTCGCTGGAAAAAGTACATGAGCTTCTTGGTAGTTTACAGCACGTTTTTGTGCCCATAGACTCAACAGGAAACGAGCGATGCAATTATTTTTGCGTGTTTTTCGCACGTTTGCATCGATGTGGCACAATCTGCTCCCAAAAACACTGGACTTAATGTATGAGTGTATGATGCGTGCAAAAACAAGAAACACGCATTTCACAGCGTGAAAACTCTGTCGTCTATATGTGAATGGAGCATTATAGTCACCACATTCCACTATAAAACAATGCAAAAGTAACCTTAAAGCAACAATCAACCTTATTGGCAATACTACAACTAAAGGCAGCACCCAAAGCTGTGAACAACCCAATTGACTAGTAAAAATTAGAAAATAGACATGGCAAAAATAGCTTAGTCTTGTCAAAACTTTCACAGCAAAATTTTAACAAAGTAAACATGCAAAAAAAAAAAAAATGACTGACACTTAAAAATAAAATACAACAAAATAAGGCACTACCTTGTGTTTTCCCGGTTTGCTAGGTTCGAGCTGCGTTTCTCCAATGTACACTGCTGAGAAGAAAAAACAAAGGCTTTAAAAGGCTTTATCCAAAAGTCAGTTAAGAAATTCAGTTCACCACTGAACAGATAAAATGAGAAGCTGTGCATATTACATTTAAACCAGGGAAACATTTTGAAAGCATTGATTTAACCACCTCCCGGCCGGCCATTGTAAAAAAAAAAAAAACAGCCGAACGGGAGCTCTCTAGATCTGAACATCAGCTCAGCCACGCCCCCTTGCACGTGCCGCGTGAGAGCGGGAAAGTCCCAAAATTTAAAAACAGGCAGCGGTGCCTGTTAACATACAAGCAATCCGCCGGCTATGGAGCCGGCGGATCGCTTGTATGAGGTCCCGGTATGTGCGCCCGGTTTGAGCCCGGGACCAGCATAGTGCCTCTCTGACAGGGGATCAGAGGGAGGTCGGTACACGAGCTCCCTCCGGTCCCCTCTCCGCTGTCAGAATGCAGAAGTGATGTATATTGCATTACTTCCACATTCTTGTGTCACTCTCCAGCTTCAGATGCTGGAGAGAAGCTGATGAAGCAGACCTGTGCTTCATCAGCTTCTTCAGGGGGGTCCTAGGTGACATTAGGGGTCTTGGAGACCCCTGATGTCTCCATAAAGGGGGTTTCTTAGCCCCCTATCTGATAGCAATAAAGTTAAGTGGAAAAAAAAATAGGAAAACAGTTAAGTTCCCCCCCACCCCAAAAAAATAATTTTTAAGTTACACGTAAAAAAAGAATTAACCTCTTGCCGTCCGCCCGTAGTAAAAAAACGGACGGACGGCACTGCAGCATCTGCGGGTTGCCGTCTCCAGACGGCAATTTTTTTCTGCTCGCGCGCGCCTCCTAGCGGGCACGCACGGGCAGAAAAGACCCGCTAAATGTAGGATGTCAACTGGTTAAAAAAATGTATTTTTATAAAAAAAGTCCCCACCCATACATACACGCATGCAAACATGCGTCGGGTGCGCATAAGTGCGAAAACGACGATTGCCTCACACGTTACATATCGTTGCTAACGTCGCAGTGAGAGCAATAATTCTAGGGTCATCAATCACTGATAACACTAAACTGATGAGCGGTAAAAGCTTTTAAAGCGACACCTAAGGGTATGGTAGTTTTTGCGATTTTATATTTTACCAAAAATATGGGTAATAATCATTGTTTCCGAACAGAATGAAAAAAATAACTTTTTTTTTTTTCAAAATTCTCCTTAATTTTTCCTTAACCAGTTGACATCCGCGGTGTTAAACCTCCTTCCCATCCAGGCCATTTTTCAGTATTCAGCGCTGCGGTACTTTGACTGACATTTATTCCGTCATCAAAAAATAAACCCACCAGTGGTGATTAAATCTGTCCCCCCAGCTCTATCTGTCCCCCAAAAATGGTAAAAAAAATGAATTTCAGTACAGCGTTGCATGACGGAATAAATGTCAAAGTACTGCAGTGCTAAATACTGAAAAATGGCCTGGCCAGGAAGGGGTCTAAACACCTGGTCTTCAAGTGGTTAATATGTATTTGAATCTAGTACTTTCAGGCTCTAGCACACAGGGTCTATTTCCAATTCAAGCACCTTAATGCCCAGAAGCTTTGATATGCACAAATATCTTGAGCTGAACCTGACACCACCCCCACACCAACAGTGAGACGGAACTTCATGGCAACTGGGCTAATCTTTGAGATTTACGAGGCAAAAAGGGGCAGGTTTGGGCTCTTGAAAACAGACCCGGGACTACGGACAGCTATAGATGCTGACATTCTAGATTATGCAAATATTTTACACTTCAGGTTGGCATTGAACTAAACCATTCCTTCTGTAAGCACTAGCTGTCTATTTTGTATGCTTACCACTGGTATTAATGTTTTCTGAGTCACTAAGATAGAACAAGTACGCATATTCAGAAAGTTAGAAGTCCTTTTCTTCTGCAACTTGTTCTGGGTAATGAAGGCAGAAGGTCAATATGACAACCAGGCAACTAACAATAGCAGCCTCAATGTTTCTCTCAGAAAAAATTCCTTTAAGTATATGTACAACCAAAACATTTTTATTCATTTTGGAAATGTGGGGAAGATTTAAAATCCCTGAGAGTCTATTTCCTGCCATGTGTGTCTCACTGAGGAGATTTACTACTTTCTACAAAGTGGGGGGAATTTCCCTCTAAGTGTTACCCGCCCTGATTGGAAGATTTACCCTGATTTCGTTTTTGGGTGATAACTGTAAAATTACCAGGGTCTGGATCTTCTGAAAAAGGAAGACAGACAGTAATAAAAACTGGACAGGGTTCTAATTATATTTTGTCCAAAAATAAAAACACAAAGCATAGAAAACAAAAGCAATGTTAAACAGGCTTTCAAAAGCCATCAATGACATATGTAGCTGCAGGCACTGTGAACCAATTTATCCTTAAAGTTAACAGCAGAAGCACTAAATTCATCCACGACATTCTCTAAGAAACTAACTGTCTCCCCTCCCGGCAGTAACTTTGCAGCTTTCTAATTTCTATTGTAAACAGGTGCTCTGGGAAAACCGTTTGCTGAGATGCAGAAAGAATTACTTTATCTCCTGTGCTGCTGTAAAATTTCAGGATAACACGTTCCGTGGTGCTCACAGCTACAGAAGACTGTGATGGCTTGTTGTAGTGCTAATTTTGCTCACAGTCTGCCAAGAATATGTACATACATAAAGGAGAACTATGGGGTGAGTGAATTACAAATATACATACTTAAAGGAGAACTATGCGGTGAGTGAATTACACTCATCCCCAGTTATAGCCCACCTGTGACACAAACGATCACGTCGCCTCTATTGATTGGGAAGTGAGCAAAAACATACCGCCGCTCACTCACTCACTTCCCAATCATCTCCCTGCAGAGAGCGGTGACCGTCAGTCACCGCTCCCCACAGTGATTCTCCCCCTCTGCCTCTAGCCAGCGGGGTGGATCTCGACAGTATTGTCGGGATCTGTTCCAGCTGCGGCGCTCTCAGCATATAGCCCGCTATATACGGAGTTTCGGGTCATGGAAGGATGTTAGTATATGTCCTCCCGTGACCCTAAAGAGAACTATGGGATGAAAAGGTTACCCCATAGTTCTCTTTTAAAATGTTCATGACCTGGCCACAGATTCACATTCAGCTCTGATCCTGAGAAAGGCTGCTCTTACCTGGTGTCCATCATTTAAATATCGTGAAGGATGCAGAGAGTTCATACAATCATTCTTTCTCCAATTTGTTCCATTTTGCTCAAGATGTGAGCTTTGAACCCCATTACCGGATGTGCTTTTCACAGCAACATAACTATTGTAAAAATACATAAACATAAGTAACCGAGCAGTCATTTTGAGGCACCAAAACTTAGACTTAGTGCTATTTTCAACTACTCACATACACAGAAGTTAATCTAGAAATACACACACTGATCAGCCATAACATTATGACCACTGAGAGGTGAACTGAATAACACTTATGTTACAATGGCACCTGAAGTGGGTGGGATTTATTAGGTAGCAATTGAACATTTGTCCCTGCAGTTGATGGGTTGGAAGCAGAAAAAATGGGCAAGCCTAAGTATTTGAGCAAACTCTGATGAAAATACATTGTGAATTTCTCTACCGGAGATTTAGTCGACAAAACTAGACTAAAACATTTCAGATGACAAACTAAAATGCCATTTTAGTTTTAGTAATTTGAAATGTTTTAGTCTAGTTTTGTCGACTAAATCTCCAGTAGAGAAAATTGCAAGGTATTTTCGTCATAGTTGTGGTGATATTAACTTAGTTTCTATTCAGTTTTTTTTCCGTCACTGAAAAAAATCTATGACGAAAATAAATCTGGTCTACTGGAGTCTATGCCTCCACAGGTCAGGGCTATTTTGGCAGCAAAGGAGGGACTTAATATTAGGTGGGTAGTCAAAATAATGTTATGGTTGATCAGTGTGTGTGTGTGTAATATAAATAAAAATGAGAATCAATACAGCATATCAATCACTCCAAAAAAATTACTTACTTTGTAACCAGACTTTTTCCTGTTTTCTTGTAGCCTGTTGTGTGGTGCATACCATCTAAAAAGGGGAAAACATATTTTCCTGAAAACTATAAAATGTAGCTGCATTCCTACCAAAAAACCTTCACAAATTTTATTATATATATACACACACACACACACACACACACACACACACACACACATATATACACGGTTTTTTAAATCTCTCAAAGAAACACCCAATAATTGTTTTAGTCACATTCAATAATGATTCTTGGCTGCATACTACATTCGATTATATAATGGTAATTGCTGAATTCCTAAAGTCCCCACAAATTATTCTTTAATCATTTAGACTATAACCACAACAAACTTGTAATTTACTTATCAGCAACAAGTATCTACGAGAATTTAGTCTTTAAACATGCATCTTTTCAAATCATCTTATTTGTAATATACAGAATTAGAAAAAAAAACTTCCCAGTTTAGGGAGGTGGTAGGAATGAGATTCCATATATCTTACCTTCTTCTTGACTGGAAGTCTCAGAGCTGTCTTCAGAGGTCTTACAACATTTTAAGCCAGCCTGCAAATGGCCTGGTGACAACCAGAAAAAAAACCCACTATTGAGACCAGTGCAATATGATATTTACAAGTTGATAATTCTAATCCTGCATTACTCAAATCCGTATCTACTCTCACCATATAAATCAACCCAATTAGAAAACCTGGACTGCTAGCAGCAGCATATGTTGGGATGTGTCACTGGCACAGAAATATGTATAGATGTTATAGCGCAGCTACCTGGTATGCACCTACATAACAGTTTACGGAACTGAGGATAAGAGCACAGCCACAATATCATAAACCAATAACCAGCAGATCAAGTGGGGTTAACATAATCTAAAAATGGGTAAGTCAATGCAAAATTATTTCAGGCTTGCTGCTACAAGGTCGAGTCATATCTTGAGAAATTCAGTGTCAGATATCCCCACTACAATCCACACTTAAGATAGATGGCCACAGCCAATAGATAGCCAAATAGTATTGTGGATTCATACCTTCTGTAGAACAAACAAATAACTGGAAAACTGAGCCACAACTGAGAGACACCTTTGTTATGGTGTTGTGGGAGGAGCTAGACACAACTTATATGTCAAAATCTTTCAACTGGATTCTTAAAAGAGGCTTTGGGCTCATGTAGATAACTTTGTTTTAATAAATACGTTGAATTACTTAATGTAATAGGGTGGATGAAAATTCAGAGCTGCTCTTGAACCGCTCTGCGTTTCTTTTGATACAGTAGATCCACTCCTGCTGCTTTAAAGTTCCTCAATTGAAGGTAAAAGCAGAACAAAAAACGCTTATGCTTCAACTTGTGGTGGGACTAGAGGGTGAAACACTTGAAACGCTCAAATGCATGCGTTTAGTAGTACTGGGTTTAAATGCAAATTGCAGAAGTTATAGACAAAGCCCATTTTCACAAGCATTTAAAGCCCCAAACCAGTCAAAATGTTTTATGTCATTGAATAAAGCAAGGAACGGTTCAAGCCTCTATCTGTTTTTTTTTTTTATTGCTGTATTTAGCCCTACTGGGGAGATTTTCCATCACTTCCTATCAGAACAGAACATGATGGAAAATGTCTTGAACAGGGACACAGGCAAAAACAAAATACATTTTTAGTAGAATGGGGAAGGGTTAGAACTTATGACAATGGTTTTAGTTTGTGATTTCCTACCTCAGTGACCCTTGCACCCCTTATTTCTTGTATAACTGTTCCAGAGATAGGAAGTTGGAGAAAATCTCCACAATCAAGTATTTAAATAAGTTGACCTTTGTTACTAGTACTATGTGATATATATGATGAGGGTTATGAAGCGCAAAGCCCACATTACCTTGTGTCACATTACAAGTGATCATATTCCACATGTACACTGTACAATTGCCACAAGTCCAAAATAGATCAGCCACAGGGACTTGAATAACAGACACTGCAGCAAGTATCCGATAGAGGAATTGAAAATTATGCTTTGTTTTTTAAACTTACTGGGATGTCCAGATTCTTTCTGGACAGTATAGAAGAATCTGTACACTCTCGGATTCTGAAGGAGCGCCTGGGACGGAGATGAAAATATTTGCCTAAAAGAGAAAACAAAAAATCAAAAAAAAAAATTCTGATCACCATAAAAACATTTTCGTTGAGTCTATGGAGGGACACAGGAAGTCTTTCATCTTCAGAATGTCCCACCGAGGGGAAAACACAGCAGCAATTCCCAACAGGCCCAACATTAACAAACTGGGGACTGCGTGCAGCTCTATAGCCAGAAAATTTGTCCAGACCAGGATCCAAACTACTCCTCGTGTCCCAGCAAGATACGTTCCTCTTTAAGGATTGAGGCATGCTACCACTGTGTACAAATAACCAGATCTGAAAATTCAAACATAGACCGGGAGATAAGAATTCCCTGCCAATAAGGACCCCTGTACCAAGAGGGTAACCATGTCTCCTCCCCAGCCAGACAGTAGAGCTGCAACAGTTAATCGATTTAGTCTATTAAAATCGACGATTGAAAACGTTACCAACGTTTTCGATCGTCGATTCGTCGGCTATCGATTGATTTCCCTGTTCGGGGCTCTACACGCGGCCTGAAGCACACGCTGCTCACGTCCCGCTGCGCCCGCCGTGCTCACAGGACGCATAAGCCACGCCCACCGCACGCTGCTCCCGCCGTGCCGACAGGACGCCGAAGCCACGC